CCCCCCGGGAAGGGGCTGCGGCCACCCCTGGAAGTGGCTGCAGTGATTGGCCGCAGTGATCGGCTGTCGTGGGATTAGCCGCGGGTATCCCACCCAGGCAGAGAGATTGGCCACAGGGGACCCCCCATCGGGAGGACTGGTCACGGGGGGGGGCATGTACCCCCCCTGACTAAGGGGGCACTAGTTGCCTATACTTTCTATGCTAGCTTTATACCAAATGGGAGAATTCCATTACACCCACAGAATCCCTTTCTGGGCAACTTTCTGATTGCTAAAGCAATACAGATTGAGTGAAAGGATGCCCATTTTCTTTTGCTTTTCAACACCATCCACTTAGTGCAAAATATTAAGTAAAACAATGTGTAGAGTACCCACTGTGCTCCTTCAAAAGAGGACAGTTCACGCACAGAGCAAGGAAGGTTCTGCTCTGACAGTTTTGTGAATTTATCAAATAAAACAGCCAAGTTCATGAGTGCCCTTCACCTCTCTGTCAATGTTCAGTTAATAATATAGATCAACATGGGGATAAATAGTTTTGGAGGTAAGCAGGTGGTGAGTAGAACAAAAAGTTCCTGCATTCCTGTCCTACCAAAGACATTTTGTGATCTCTCTTTGTATTGGCTTAAACAGGGCTTATACAAACAGCAGCAAGCGGCATCAGTCAGCTAAATTCAGCCTACCACATTCCAGGCCCACTGTGTTGAATCCCTCCCTTCACCCACACGTCACATTACTGAACTGAGAGAGTGGCAGAGCAGAAAGAAACACCTGAATTCTAATTTTGATTCCACAGTCTCCCATCATGAGACTTCTTTGCTTTGCTTTCCCCCATTGGGAAATGGAGAGAATAATGCTTACTTCTTCCCTAGAATGGTATGTGGATTAAAATATAAGCATTGGAGTAAGGCTGTGCGGGACAGTTAAGTCACATTGTATTCTGCTAAAGTTAAGGATCTGAGCTAGAGCCTGTTGAAAGACTGATAAAAATCCCATTGACTTCAAGGGGTGTGGGCTTGGAACCTAAATTTTTATTTTCATGCTCAAGTGTAGAAATTCTTGAGTGGCCAACGTCTCTACAATTTGACCAGATTAGGTATTTTACCTGTGGTTGACAGTGGTATTGAGGACCTATTTGTAGCAAAACCAGTACTAAGAGCAGTTTTACTACAAATGCAGATGGACCCAAGATTTGGTCAGTGCTGCTTCAGAAAATCAAGGCTCAGCCATTTCCATAGGTAAATATCTTCACACCGACAAGCCACAGAACCAACAAGAAGATGGGCCAGTTCTGCTCTGCTCACAGGCCACATTGTTTCTGTTACCAGGAAGAGGTGACATCAATTTAAATATACCTGTTGGATTATTCAGAAGCAATTGGCACTAGCAGTGGATTCCACTAGAAGTTTCTGACTCCGTTGTTAGAGCCAGACTGAGGAGCATAGGGACATTTGGGATAGACATTGATGACAAATATGGACAATGTTGATTGCCTATGCCCCTAGCACCAGCTTGCATTCCCAGCACCAGATCATTTCCCCCATGCCAGTATTCAGACTGCATCCAGAAAACACCATCCTTGTCTCACAGCACACACCAGGCAAATAGCACAACCATGATTATTTTTGCAGATGCACAACTTCCACCCAGATACTTAATGAGTGTCATTGTCTTGCTTTCCACAGCCCAGCCAGACATGCCTCTCCATCACTCAGCCTACAATAAAACCCAGCTAAAATCAAGTACTTGGCTTTATTCCTTTGCAAGGATTTGCTGTTCTTCTCCACTCACCAAGGCATTGAACTGGCTGTACCCAAACCCTTCCCAATATTTTGCATAACTCTGTGGCCTGAAGCCTTAAAAGAATGAGGAGCTTGCTGCAGACACCTAGCAGCCCTAGCAGAACTCTAGGACTAAGTACAGATGTTCAAGAAGCCCAAGGCAGAAGCACTCTAATTACCATGCTTTATTCAAAGTGCCCTAGATTACTGTGGGAGTGAACAGAACTGCCGTTCACCTTGAGGAGAGGGAAGGAGAATTAAAGTGGCCTGCACTGCCTAAGGCCACCAGGCTGGGGTGCTCCTGCACACCTCCCAGGAGGCTGCCAGAGCAGCCCTTGTCCCCAGCCCCCTCCCCACCCCCCCAGCTGGCTATGTGGGCTCCCGCCCCCCAGGTTGCTGGCTTGGGTCTTGGAAAGGGCCAGTCTGGGTCCACGTAGCAGAGGAGGGTCTGTTCCCTGCCCCCGACCCCCCAGTTCCCAGTACCGTGAAAAGTGGTACAGCCCCAAACTGCAGCTCCTGGCTATAGCTGGGGGAATGGAGCCTATCTGCCATGTGGACCTAGTCTGGCCACCCCCAAACCCAAGTCAGCAAGTTGGGGGGGACCCACGCAGCAATGGGGCTCTATTCCTACACTGCTCTCCCCCCTCCCCGCAACTCCACCCGGCTGCACAGGGAGGAGATAAAGCCTTTTCTGTCTCCTCTCTGTGAGAGCCTTGGGTGGAGGGGCTAGATCAGAGTAGGTGAGAGCACTAGCCAAAGCTAACATGTTGCCCTGTGAGGAGTCCCTGGGATGCCAGGGGACTGCAAGCTAACTTGAGTCGTAACGGTCTTTGGTACAGATGTTCGATAAAGTGCTCTAACCTAAAGTGTTTTAGTGTGATGCCACATCTATCCAGGGTTAACTTAGAGCAAGAGCCACCATTTTTAAAGTGCTCTATGTTCTATGAATGTCTGCTTGGTTATGGCTGTAGAGTGCTTTTTGCATGCTTAACGCATGATAAGTGTAATGTCTGTACCTAGCCTAGATGTACAGAGACCTTACCAAGGAGGGAGGCCTCTGCTGGTATCTGTGGATGAGGCAGGGGAACCGGTTAGAGGATGTGTGTCTTGTTTGCATGCCTTCTTTGCACATGTAATGTGACAGTTTGGGAGAATTTTGTTAAAAAAGCCATTGAGTTTTGGAGTTGGGAGATGGACAAAACACTATGTGTCGTGTTTGGTTTAGCACGTGACCTATATCAAGTGTGCCTGAGGGCAAAGGTCACCCGAGCCTTACTATAGCCTGTAATGGTCAGACAGCGGAGCTCTGAGAAAGATATCTATCCCTCTGTGAGAAGGCCATGGAGAACCGCATGATGCTATTTATATTGCAGAGTCTAATTTGAGACAACCTGAAAAGCCAAGATGTGTTGAAGAATGGTGACAACCAGGACTACATCAGCTAGCACCCCTGAGAACAAAGCTTTCAGTGTGGTGAGTTCCCCTTGGAAAAGCCCTTTCTTCACCCAGCTAAGAGCTCTGCAGTTTGGTTGTAGTATCATTCTGCTGGCACGTGCCAGGACTCCGTTGAAGCCCTGCTTCTACCTTGCACTGCTGCTGAGAGTCACGGGGTTACAACTAGTGGTGAGGGCTTCCCTCCCAAG